ACAAGATTACCTACACATTTGCCCTTTGACCCAGCAATTCTTCTAGAAATTTACCACAAGTGAACCAACTTTATGCACACTTACATTATGGTGGTTTTTTAATATTGGAAACAACAAAATGTCCATCACCCAGAGGATAAGATACATTCATCTGAGCGGTAGGGGTAGTGTACAGCTGTGAGAAGGAATGAGGAAACCTTGATAAAAGCTGGGTGTGGTGGTACACACGTGTATTCCCAGCCTTGGCCAGCTGAGGCAGATGAACTGAGAGTTTAGCCTGGGCTACATAAGACCCTATCTGGAAAAAGAAAATTAGTGCACAGCAGTAGACTTAAAATGCAAATGTATATTTCCTTTTTTTCTGAAAACAAAAGGTGAAAAACTGAAGTAGGGGATTGGTAAGAAGTAGGGCCGAATACACTGGGAAGTGATACTTTTAGATAGGTGTTTTGCATATTTTAATTTTTAGACAATCCCTAAAATTAAAATTTTGAAATGGATGAACTTAAATGCCTTGAATTGAATTCTACAGAAGCTGCCGAGAAACATGAATTTAGAAGTTGACCCCAAGCAGCAGTTGAGAGGAAGTGGAATGTAAGAGGCACAGGAAGGAAGAAGTACAGGTGTGTTAGGAGCTGGCTCCTTGGTTCCATGGGTCAAGGGTCATGGGTGGCTTGAGGAGCTTCCTGGTACCCCAGTCTGCTCAACAGATTACTACACCACAGAACATCTGCAGGCATCGCAGGTGCTGGAGCAGGTCTGAGTGAATGCCTGGGACTGTGGCATCTACTGTCCAGCCTGCCTACAAGTTGAACTGGTGACAGTCCTGGAGGGTTATTTCAGGGGATATTAGAATAGCACTCTACAAATCCAGAGAACTTTAGTGTGAAGACTAGAGCCACCAAGAAATTCTAAATTTCAGTTAGTCTCGTTGTTACTGGTCATATTGGTATTAGTCCTTCGAAATTAGGTGCGGTGTGGGTTAAAGCTAATAACTATCAATGTTAAAATGAAAGTTTTTCTATGAAAAAGACAAAATTCAAGAGTTAAGTAACATACAAAAAATCTGTAGTTGAAACTTTAAAAAATACATGTTAATTATTAGCTCTGCCCCAGCAATATCGGACACCAAGCAAGCACTGAATTGTCCTTTAAGTACCATTCCCTAATGAGGTACCAGGGCTCCTTGAAATTGCTGGTTCCTGGATGGAGCCAGGAAATATGCAAGGTAGGCTAAAATGGCTTTCTGGGTCAGAAGGCAAGAAAACACAAAGTCTCTCAGCCAAGGTTGGAACAGGTTAAGCCTCAAGACAGTGATGACTACATCTATAGGAACAGATTGAGTATATTAAAAAGCATGAATTCAAGAAAGGCCAAACCAACCAAACAAAAACATTGGGCACTCCTGGAGGGAGCTAGGGTATCAACTCCTAACATTGAAAATAGACACAGGAAAATAAGCAATTATCTTGCCCTTTACCATGTAGCCTAGTGGATTACAGAAAGTTCTTTACAGAATTCCTGCAAGTGAATGAGCAAGGATGACAGAATTTAAAGTCACCATCTCCAAACCCTGATGCAAGGGCTCCAAGCAGCCTGTGTGTGCACCCACTGCTTGCAGGGCTCTCCCCAGGACTTGATTCTGTGGATTCTGGTTGCACCAAAGAATTGTGTTTCTATCATGACCAAAGACTGACTCTACCTTGAAAATTGGAATGACATGGTCCAAACAGCACTGATCTCAGGGTACATTCATCCCTTCCAAGGGGCTTAATGAAGAATATGCCAAAACAATTTGTAAGCAGGGCATACTAACATGGGCATTGGCACAACATCCCAGGTTAGGACATAGATTGAAAATTAGCATGGGCTCCCCTGACAGGCTGACAGCAGAAAGGCCTGGTGGGTTTCAAACAACTGACGGAGGATAGTTTTCTTAAGTCTGTTTACTACTTCTGCACCCAAAGCAAACCAAACTGTTTTCAAGAATATTCTAAGACCCAAAAAACCATCCCTGAGTGGGTAATGTGCAAATTTCCATGGTACTTTGCTAATGGGTCATGCACCAGAATATTTTATATTGGAAGTGTCTGATAAGTGCAGATCTCAGTTTTTAAAATGAAGCGTGTGTTTTAGAGAACTGACACACTAGAGAAGTAAAGAAAGGTCATAGGGAAAGTGAAAAACTTCCCAGAAAAGGTGTGGGTGATTTCTAATATGAATCAGATTAGCTTTGTCCCCAGAATTCTAGAGCTGGAGGCTATGAAGGGGAAAGTAACTTGGAAAAGAAAAGGTCTTCAGGGTGCAAATATCACTGTGCATCTATCAATGAGCCTGGGAAAGTAAGAAAATAAGCCAAAGTGGCTTCAGAGGGACACTTACGTTAGATGTATATAAAAGCACGCATGTCTGTGTGAGTGCACACATACCCTCACACGAACGGAGGATGGGGTGGGCACATAGCTCCTTTAGTCATCCATTCATTTAAAAAATATATGTTAAAGGCCTCTTATGTGCCAAGCCAAGATGTATAAGTAGATGCATTGTGGAAAGTAGCAGGCACCCCAGTCCCCAGAAGAACCAATGTTTAGAAAAGTTCCAAGGATGCAGTAGCTGCATTTGAGCATTTTCAAGTCAACTCAGAGAAATGAGGCCAAAGGAAAGACTGGCCCAATATGTGGACACATGATATGATTGATGATAATGTAGATAGGACAATAGTTATCTTTCATTTATTTCTCAACTCCTGGAAAGCTTAGAGCAGACCTAGTCAGGAGGAAATTGAATCCCGAACAGGCCAGGAAATAGATGGCAGCACCTGGAGCATAGCTGCCTCTGATATCCCTAGGGTGGGGGTGGGGTAGTAGTTAGTTGCCTCCCTGGGGCTGCATCTTCCTGGCATAGTGACAGGGCTCAGGCAGTGTTCCCTATCCGTGGCAACACCCCACCTCCATGTGACAGGATCGTGGAAAGGACTTGTGGGTGGCAAGGATGTCCCGGGTAGTACAGTCCAAGAAAGATGGTGGCGTGACTCAGAGCTCAGGCTAAGGTGAATGGACTGAAGCTGTGATGTCTGAGGGTGAGAGGACCAGTATCTCTGTCCTCTGGACTCATCCATTTGTGCATTTATATGGGCATACATGGTGGTGTTTTTTCTTTAAACCTTACTTTCATGGTAGTTACCCTCCCTTTTAATAACCTTGCCACTGTTGATATAAGCACAGGAAGATCTAGGCTTGATCATTCTCTAAGGCCTGTTTGCCTTAGGCAAGTTATTAACCTCTGAGAGCCATGCTTTTCTCATAAGTAAAATGTGGATCGTAGTGAAGATTAAACAAAGTCACATTTAAACAGCACAGTGGAATTCAGCTCCTTGTAAGCATTTGATAAGTGCTTCCTTCCTTAAATGAAAGCATTTTCCTCCCTTGAATAAATGCATTCCCCACCCCCAAAACTAAACAGCAGAATAGAACACTTCTGTATGTCATGCATGGTGGCTGTGGTGTTCCAGTTTGGGGTCTTGGCCAGTGACTGGTGGTGCCCCAGATGCTATTGGGAGCATTCTGTCTCTTGCTAAAAGGAGCCAGAAATGGGAGAGAGAATAAAGATGGAAACTACAGATCAAAGATCTGTGGGAGATTTTAGAATTATTCAACAAATGAGATGAATAGTTTATGAGAGAAAATAAACCACTTCAATTCACCAAATCATGAAAAAAAACCCCACATTTTCAATGAGCGTGCAGATTAATATTTGAGTGCGTGCCAAAGCTGCAGAGTAGCTTAATTTCTTTGAAGAATTTGGGGGAAAAAGCCTCAAATAGACGCTTCATGGACAAGAGAAAGAAAAAATGGGACAGAGTACAATGTAGTTGGGAGCTGATGAGATCTATAGCTGTGCTGAATAATAAATTGGTGTTCAGATGGAAGAAAGTCTCAAGTGACAATGACAAAAGGCCATGTCCTTGGCTCTTGGTCTGTTCGACATTTGCAAGTGAGGTAAACCCCACAAAGCTTACCAGCTCTGAGGAAGATAAATCAGCCTTTATTGAATCAGGAATAGAAAAGCTGGGATAATCCTACGAAATAGAAATAATATTAGTGTCCTGAACCTACTCACTGTATATGCGCCTGGGTGGAAGGCTGGCTCGACAGCATAAGTGACAATGATTAAGAGTCCATAGTTGCCCCAAAAGCCGTGCATTTCTGAGTTTGGGGGATTCACGCTGAAAACACCGTGGCTTTGTCATATTAAAATGTTGCATTGTAGAATTAGTGTTCAGAATGAAGGCCGCCTTGTCTTTAACGACCGAAAAGGTCAGTTACCACCTGGAGTGTGTCTAAGGATGGGTGTCCAAGAAAGGGGAGTTGAGGTACCAGATCAATGAGGACGCAATGAAGACTGAGGCTCACTGGGGCCATTAACAAATAGTGAAATCATTTGTGCAAAACTGGGGAAGATCACAAAATAAGGAAGCATGAAACTGGGGTGAGGGGAAGAGAACTGAACAAAGTCAAGAGTACAGGGAACGTTACGCCTCTTCTTCGCCGCGAACTTTCAGTTGTTAGCATCCATTATATGCGCGCCAACACTTTTTTTTTTTTTTTTCCCACGAAGAACCGGAGGTCATCAACCCAGCTGAAGCCTTCTCCACCACTTCCCATTCCGGGTAGCGGCCGTTCTGGAAGTCCAGGTCTCCCCGCGCGGTCTGCCCTCCTGGTGCCTCCACCGTACAGTCGCGGTCTCGGCAGGGGCACCAGGGTGGGGCGGGACCGAAGCGGCTGGGCAGAAGTGACAAGCTGGGGCGGGGCCAACAGGACCAGGGAGCCCCCACGCGGGCAGGAGCTCCAGCCCAGTGGGCCACCAGCACGCTTCGGCGTTGCCTGGCAACCAAATCGCGAGGTGATTGGTTGCACTCGGCCCCGTGATCCCGAGGACACGCACTTCCTGTGTTCCCGGAAGTCACGTGGGCTCCAGACCCCGCCCGAGCAGAGGCGGAAGCAGAGCCAGCCGAGTAGAGCTGCATTGCCGCTGTCTCCTCAGTCCATGGCCGCCTACTCCTACCGCCCAGGCCCGGGGGCCGGCCCTGGCCCTGCCGCGGGCGCAGCGCTGCCGGACCAGAGTTTCCTGTGGAACGTCTTCCAGCGGTGAGGCCGGGCCCTTAGGCCTGAGCGGTCTTCGTTGGCCTTCTCCCCTCCCTGTCCTCCTTGTCGTCCTCATGGGTCCTTCGTCCTCCTGGGCCTTCCTCCCTTCACTCTCCCTAGCCTCCCTCCTCCTCCCTCCTCCTTTCTGGCATTGGAGCAAAAGGCCCAGGGTTGCGGCCTCACCCACTTGGTCCTGGCGCTCAGGGCCGAGGGACTGGTTCCAAAAGTCCCAAAGGGTCCGTGGTGCTTGTTTTAGGAACATGCCTGATCCGGCGCTACGAAAGCCACAGCAGCCGAAATGGCAGCGTAGAATTAGCAATATCTTCTGCCATTCGACGTCCTTCTGAGTGTATGAGCGTTACTGCAGTGACTCATGGCCAGCGAATGACTTAATTGTCCCAGAGAATTTTTCCTGTCCGTGAACAGTAACCAGTGCAGGTGTGAATTCAGACGTGCCAGGGGAAGAACAAAGGGAAGACTTGAGTTGGGAAAACAAGATGATTTTGCCTCTTTAGGGGATCTGGGATGGTAGTGGGAGATGTCTTAATCCCCAGTACACATAGGACATGGGAAATTCTGACAGAGCAAGTGAAAGGTCTGCTAGAGAAACATTCCAGAATTAATGAAGGTTGATGGAAGAGGTGAATTTTAGTTTTTGCTTTGTTTTGCTTTTCCTGTACTCTTCATCACTAGCTTACCTAGTCTTCTTGATTTTGTAGGGTTGATAAAGACAGGAGTGGGGTGATATCCGACAATGAGCTTCAGCAAGCACTATCCAATGGTGAGTTTAAGCCTGACCCACAAACAGTAAGCACTTTCCTTTCGTGATCTTCCAAGTATGAAGGCAACATTAAGACCAAGTTGCTATTAACTGATGCGTGGTGGAGGTGTTTCTAACTTACTGTGCCCATGGTTATTGTCATTTTTTCTGCCTCACTGTGTATGAGCTGTGAGGAACTGCTGCCTGAGAACTAGAGGCTAGGCTTTAGGTCTTAGGGGAAGAATAAAAAGGTCAGCTTTGTGCAGCAGAAACCTGTTAGGTGTCTTGGAAGGTCCTTGAATTTCTTGGGTAAATGAACCTCAGCCCTTCCTCTAGAAAGGATCATCAAGGACACTAAAGGGTTGTCAGATGACAGGAAGACGTAATTGTTTAATTGTTGAAGGGTTTGGAGAAGATTCATGTAGCAGTTATGTGGGGAATGTGATTGCTGTAGGAACTGCAGAAACTCTAGGACCAAATTGGGAAACGAGGGTATTGAAGCACTGTTAGTCTGGTCATAGGGTTTTGTTTTGTTTTTGCTGTGTTTGTTTGTTTGTTTTTAACTCAGGACCTTTGCACTTGCTAGGCACATGCTCCACCACTTGAGCCACACCTCCAGCCTGGGGAGGTGCTCTTATCAGCATGGTGAATAACAAATGTTTGGGATTGGGGAATGCAGCCCTAGTGGAGGGTCTTGGCTCTCCATAATGTCATGTTCTTGCTGGTGTCAGTGTGATTAATCCTTGGCAGTGCCATTATAGACATTTTTCTTCATTAAATTCCTTTTATAATCTCTCAGATGTAGCTGTCTTTTCTGATTATTAATAGCTTGATTTTCCCCAGGTCCCATGTAAACTGGGAAAAGGGCCAATTCTAAGATGTGATGGCAGTATCAAAAAACTCATCTTTGTTAACGGAAGCACTTTTTTTGTTGTTGATTGGACAAGGGAGTGGGCATCTGGGCTCCTGAACACTGCTCAGAGCATTGGAGCCAGGATTAAAGGGGAACCCCTCGCTATTGGCATGTGCTAGGCATTCCCTGTTCATATCTGAGGATTTTGTGTTCTCAAGGCAGCACATTTTCCTTATAGGATATCACTGACATTCCCCACTATGGACCACAGACACTGAGTGCTAGTCCACACCGTTTATTTGGAGATTCCATTTCCTTTGCCCTGACTGTTGAGCTTTCTTGATTATTCTTTTCTGTGGTTTGGACATCTAGTGCATGTCCTTCTCGGGCAGTACATGGCAGGATTACTAGAAAGACCTTGAGAACACCACAATACCAGTAGGCTACAATTTGGTAAATCCGGGCCTAAAACTTTCCAGGTGACCAGAATGGATGGTTTGGTCATACCGTGTTTTAAATGTGTTGTAGGTGATAGAGTCACAGAGCCCTTCTTGTCATGCTTTAGAGATGTGCATCTCTCATAGTTTCCACTGAGTAGTAAAGATCCATGAACCTTATAAACAGTCTCCTTTTTGTCCCTTTGCTTGCATGTTTGACTGTATGGACCAGGTTTAGGTTTTGCGTGAAACTTTCTAACCTGGTGGTGGTAATCTAGTACTCGAGCTCATTAACACAACAGACAGCCTATCACCCTAACAGGCCCTATTAGGGGCCCTGGATCTCCCTGCATTCCATTTGTTCCTCTACCTTTTTAGCATTGTGACCTTGGGCAGGCACACAGCACTGGGAAGGGTAAATCAAGGAAATGCAGTCAAGGTGCTTCACAGACTGCATAAGCAAGACAAGTCCCTGTAGAATAATTATCAGTCACATCACCATCCTTCCCACACACAGGCCCAGTTACAAGGATGACATTGTTACCCTGTGTTAGAGCAGAGGGAGTTTGAGATCTCCCTATGGTTTTGATTCCTGGGTGGGGAAAGTAGCTCAGCAGGCTGGGTTGATAGGCCCTCACATTGCCAAGAATAGTCTAGATGACTGGCCCTTACCAGGCTCCTAGGAACTGAGCTCCTAGGAGGTTCTGACTGAGAACCTCCTAGGTTTTGAGCCTGCATTGTGCCACTTTGTATAGTTTATACCAAGGGTGTGATTTGTGGCAAACACCAGCTCTGCCTCTTGGTGGCCAGAGAAACTCTGGACTTCAGGCTCAGAACAGTTCCCTGCTGCAGCCTGTCCATATGCTGCTTGATGGGTTGTGTCCTCGAGACTCTGGGAGCTTGTGCCTGGTTTTCCATTCATTTGTCCCCTGCTGCTTTTACTCTATGTCCCTTCTGTATAAGAAGCTGTCACCAGGAATCTCATCCTAGAGGGTTGTCAAGCCTGAGGGTATAGTCTTAGGGATCCTCAGCACAGCCTGCTATGTCTGCTGTCCCCCAAAACTAGCCCCACCAAAGCTCCACAGAGTTAGTATCCAGTCTCTGGATATTAAGAACATCTGGCAGGATGTGGAGGACTCCCACATATAACAGTACAGACTTGATGCTAAGGAGACGCACTTAGGGCTCCTGTGTGGTCATGCAACCAAAGATTTCCCTGGGCCAGGCCCCTACTGAGAATCTCTGTTCTAGAGTAGGCCACTGACTCATTATAGGTCACTCTCACAGAGTTCTTACTGTAGGTCAGGTACTAAAAGTTTTCTGAAAAATTATTTTCTTTTGTTTAATTGCTGTTGTGTCATTCATTTTCAGGCACATGGACCCCATTTAATCCGGTGACTGTCAGGTCAATCATTTGTAAGTATGTGTGCAGAAGGCAAAGTGGATCAGCTTGTGTTTCCCTTTTTCTCTTTCTGGAACCCCAGTCAGATGGTGTTGGGCCCTTGCATCCCACCTTCCTGCCTCTGTACCTCCTCTCATCTGTGTACATTGCTTTCACTAATTCTTTAGTTTTAACCTAGAGCTTATCCTGTCCTTTCACTTCCTAATTTTAAAGGTTTTAGATGTATAAAATTTCTGGATTATTATGTAGTTATCGTCATGCCTTATTTAGTTATTGTTGACAGTCTTCTTTGTTCATTTTTGCCATTCCATCTTTTATTCTAAGTATTATATATGCTTGTCTTAAGTTTTAAGTAAACATCTCTACTGAAAAATTGTACACATGAACTTAGAGCTACTTTATGTTTGACTCAAGTCCATGGGAGGGTGGTCTACCATGTTCCTGCTGAACCTCATACATGTAGCTAATTACCTTGATTTTTTTTTGTGATTTTTTTTGTGTTTTGTGGGTGCGTGTTTAGTTAAACTTGATGTGTGAAAACCAAGGTCTGAGCTGGGGGGTGGGTCCTACAGGAAGGATTCCCGTAATTTCTGTCCATCAGGATGTGGGTTCTTTCTTTGGGTTGTTCCTGCTGCACAAGTAGCAGGGATTTGAGCTCCAGATGCAAGAGGGAATTAGGTATGCAGGCCCACATTCTCACAAGAGATTTGCCGTCCTTTCGATTTGTGGAAGGTTTCCTTTGCTGGGAGGTGGGTTTTTCTTTAGTCTTCCAGGGAGGTAGTTCCCTCCTAGCTTCCTTTTAATACAGAATCAGAGGCCCAGTTCTTCACAGGGGCCGAGGTATGTGCTCACGTTTTCCATCTTGCTTTCCTTTTCATGAGCATTTTTAGTTTCTTGAATTTCCTGAACTATCTTGTGAGCTCAGCAGAGTACTTCAGAGTGTGTTGGTATCAGATAACCTGAGTTCCAGGCATTGTATTGTGCTGATACATGTAAAGACTTGGCAGGATAGCTTGTGGGTTACTGGCCAGGGCTGAGCCTTCAGTAATAAGATGTTGACACATGGGGCAGGTGTGCATCTCCCTGCCAGAGGTGGGCCTGGAAGCAGCTCTTCTCCTTGGCCTTACCTGAGAGCTTTCCTTAGCATTTGCCTATGTGCAGCATATCCACACCATGCCTTCTGTGCAGTTCATGTCTCTAGGCATTGATGTGAAAAAAGCCCATGGTTGCAAACATGATTCTGCACTTTGTGAAGCAACATTGGTACTCGGTTTCTCACAAGTTGCTTCGTTAAATGAGATGTTACTGAATTGTAATGGGCTTCTGAACAAATCAAGGGCAAACTTGCACTAGCCTCTGCACCTGAAGAGACTAGACTGGCCTCACACTGGCACCCAAAGGACTTAGATCTGCTGTGAAGCTTTAAGTGCTGTGCTGTGATTAAGCTTTTTGCTGTTTAATATGTAAAGTCCTGATGTGTCACGGTCTGCCTCTGTGTCTCAGCTATGTTTGACAGGGAGAACAAGGCTGGTGTGAACTTCAGCGAGTTCACGGGTGTGTGGAAGTACATCACAGACTGGCAGAATGTCTTCCGCACCTACGACAGGGACAACTCTGGGATGATCGACAAGAATGAGCTCAAGCAAGCACTCTCAGGTTTTGGTAATTCACTTGTCTCAATTGTGTAGCATATTTCATTTTGGAACTCGGGAGCCCCTGGAAGCTTTGTTTTACTTTGTTCCACTTACTAATTTTTAATCCATATGAAATTTGTTTACATTGTATAGGTTCATATTTTGATATTATTTAATGTCATGAAGGCTTATGTTTATATAGAGTCATTTATGCAGTTTTTCATCCAAAATGAGATAAGGGCTATGCAAGTGGTCCACTTTTGTGAAATGGGGTGATGTCATGAACAAAATTGAGAATGTGGCTTTTGAAACAATTTAAAGTGGGTTAAAATAAAATGGTGTGGGGCAGCTTATATTTTATGATATATCAGTGTACAGTGCTAAGAAATGATTCTGTAAGTGATCAGGACTAACTCTGTCCAAATTGTGCCCTGATGAAAAATTGGAGAGGAAGAGTGCCCGTTCTCAAATACATTCAGCACGTATGTGCTCAGCATGTGTGCACATTTGTTGTGGGCATACCTGTTTGCTCAGGCGTGACAGTGTGCCGTGCTTCTCACACATGTTCATAGTACCTGTCCAGAGTGCATCTGAGGCTGCCAGAATTGGCCTTGGATCTGGGAGGAAGCTGGGATTTTTATTTACAAAGGAAATATTGAAATGTGTGGGACCAGCCCAAGCAAGGCTTTTTGTGATTACACAATGATTCTAGTTTGTTTGGGACAGTTTCACTCAGCACTCTGTTCATCTGCCTGTGTTACCAAACCCTTCTGTGTTTTCTTTAAAAGGATACGTATAAATATAATCTAACAGATTAAGGATATTCTTCATCGTACTTCCCTAAGTCTGTTATGTCCTATGGCTACTACCATGGCTTCTGCAGTTGTCCCCATCTCTCTTTTGAGTGTGTTTCAAGGGCCTCTTCCTCCTTTTCCTTCTTGCTTTGAGATCACTAGATTTGGGCAGGGCAACTCTGAATTGGAACTTGAAATACAGCTTACTGGGTGGAAGAGTATTGGAAAGAGATCCTAGGACACAGGAAGGCCCCCAGTCCTACATAGGGCCACAAAGGACACAGGTGGCCCACTGCTGCCCAATAGAGGAAGCTACAGGAGCTTGGGATTGGCCCAGGCCCGTGAGTTACCTCTGGTCAGCTCACCTCGGCTTCACAGAGTGCCCGCCTATTCCAGACTAGAGACCCTCTCTTAGCACAGTGACCATAGGGTCCTCAGAATTCACAGAGGAATCAGTAGTGTGGACATTGTTCGCAGCCTCTTAAGCCTTCTGTTTCCTGGTCAGACCAGGGATGTCTCAAAAACTTACGGGGCATAGTCATGGTGGGAGGCTGCCTTGTTTGGGCAGTGCCAGCATGCTCTCAGCTTCTTAAGCATCTTGTAGAGAAGTGGTGCCCTGTGTACCACTCTTCTGGTGGTCCTGCCACATTTCTTCCTGTGTTTGTCCTGATTTCCCATGTATCTCCCCAGTTTTACATGTAGAAGAACATGGTTTTCCTGTTTGCATATTTGTTATTTTAGAAGGTTTTTGATGATAACTGTCAGGAAGTTGGCTTTAGAAGCAAGAGTTCCTGTTCTGTTTTGACTCCTGAAAATGGGTTTGTTGCTGTCAGGTAATGGGAGTGCAGTAGTGGCCAAGGGAGTCACTGCAGTGTCTCCAGCCAGCCCTAGTAGTGCTGGTGACTCTGATAGGGCTATCTGGTGGGTCTGATCATCCTTCCATCCACTTATTTAAACCATTGTTATTAACATCTGTGGCCAGGTATGGAGTCCTGGGTGGGTACACACACCTCTCCTGCAGGCACTGTCGGCCAACCTGCAGGCATGGCTTAGGTTGCTTGTTGCCTTGAAGTTGGGTTCACCTATGGTAAACCCATCTCTTCTGGTGGGCAGCACTATCAGGAGGGAATGGGCCCTCACTACAAAGCCCCAGTCTTCTCTTGGCATCTCCCATCTCCACCCAGCCTTTGGCACTATCTGTGGTTTAGTTTTTTTATCATGAAAAGTTTGTGGACGTACAATGAACTCATCAACTACTGTCAGCATTTCTCATCTTTTTGTTGGATTTTTAAGTAAGTCCAAGGCTTGTACCATGCCTTCCACATTCCTCATTCTGCAGCTATAGCATATGACACCTGCTTACAAGATCAGTGCCATCAGTTCACTTTATAAGTGATGTTTTGCTTGAATTAGCCCAGTAAGGCCCTTGAGCAGGCTTGGCATGAGAAGAACATAGGATAGTGCCATGCACATCTTTTAACTTTCTCCCTGCTGGTGCTCACTGATTTTGGTCCAGCTATCCCAGGTTGTGGCTGTGACTGCAGTAAGATCCTTCAGGGAACACAGGCGATGCTGCTTCTAGTGCTGGGACTGCTGGTGGACCAGGGGCTCATAGCCTGGTGCTGACCACATAGGCTACAGGCTGCATGGCCTAGGCCAGTAGTGTCCATGATGCTGTTTTCTGGTGGCATTGTCCCTCCTGTGAGTTTCTAGGTAGAGAAAGACTTAGCTCCATCATCAAAGAAAGGCTGGTTGGTTCCTGGAAGTAGACACAGAGAATGTCTCCATTTAGTGAAGCCATCATCACCTCATTGGTCCAGAAGAATATACCTGGTGGAGGCAGGGAGGACTGAAGGGGCAGGGAGCAGCTCCACACAACCTCACGCTGACTCTACAGTCCTACTGTGAGGAGTGTACCTCTTCTGTCCTGAAGAGGAAGACAGACCTCAGAGGGTTGAGATCGACTTGATGGACACCCCCTGTGCTCTGAGTGGTTCTGCTGCTGTTCAGGCCAGAGGACCCTCTGGTGGCCTTGTCTTGTTGAGTGGGTACAACTCCAGTTAGAGTGAAATGTGGAGTGCATAGCTCTGCTTGACTCATTAGCAGTATTTTCAAAATCAGGGAGTTTTCCTCTGAGAAAAGAGAAGGGCTGTAGAAAGGAACCCTCCTGATTGGGCCATAGGACTGAGCACAGAGAGCACTTTGATGCTGAAAACATGATTCTCGTGTGGACTTTCATTGAAGGAGATCCCTGGTGGACAGTTTGCTGCCAGGTTTTGGCCTCTCAGATGAGTCAAAACCTGGTTCTCTTGTTCGTGGTTCATTTTAAAGTTAGTTCCAGGAGCAGTGGGGTTACGTCCATTGTTTGTACAGAGTGGAAATTCTTTGTTCCCGTTCATCTGTCCCTCCCCTGTTTTGGCAGAGGACGAGTGATGACTGTCATCACCCCATCCACACCTGGATAGGCAGCACCCTGTGGCCATGTCCCAAGTTCTGCCCTCAGTTGCCAGTCACAGGCTGGGTGTGAAGAGGTGAAGCATGGCAGCTGCTTCCCACCTGCTGTGTCTTTGTGACTTAAGTTCAGCACCCTATCTTTTCAGCATGCAGGGAGAGGGGCTCCTCTGTCACTCTTATGTTCTAGCTTACCCTGACCACTCTGGAAAGTGCTATGAACATGTTTGCATGTTGAGCCTTCATCAGTAGAATGATGAAGTATTCATACAGGTAATTAACTGTGAGATTCACTCAGACAGTAGGTGTGCAGGTCCTTCCAAAGATTCCAACAAGACTGAAAACCAGTTAAAATATGTTGGCACCTGGATCTTGACTCCTGAATCAGTAAGGATACTACGTTCACACAGGTAGTGGGTGATGAGGGAAGAAAGCAGGCAAGGTGCTGGTTAAGCATCACCTCTAGGAATGCCTCGCACATCAGGTGTGTCTACACATCTTTAGAGCCCTTTTTTCCTGTTGAGACCTCTTCCAGACATGCTTAGTAAGTTAGAAATGGAATCATAATGCTTGACAACTCTGAACTTTGTGAAGCCCAACCACCTTGTACTCTCAGTTCCCTGGTGTCACATGCACTGATTTGGGGAGGGGGGGTCCCCATCAGTTAACCTCTTATGTCAGCATATGTTCAACTTAGCCTTCTGTGGTGTTTTAGCTTTCAAAGCATTCTCTAATAGTGCATGGCCCAGGGCAGCAAAACATTTAGAACTTTCATGTCTAGATTAGGTTGTGTGGTGAGGTGGCTCCCCTGGGTTCAGAAATGCCAAGCCTAGTTGCCCTGTGGGATGGTTTCTGTAGGCAAAGTGAAGTTAATTAACCCAAGCTTCCAGAAAATGGTACTGGCCTTTATGTGAATTGCTTCACAGTACTGGAAACATAAATTTATTTCAGCATGATTTATATAGGCAATGTCTCTTAGTTCTTAGAGTGCATTTGAACACGTTTGCACGTTCATTCCCATTATTCCTGTTTGTTGTTGGGAGGCTGTGGGCTCTTGGAAGGGAGCACTTGAGCATGATGTACATCTTCTGCCTCTCCTGGCCTGTCTTGACTCTGATCTTCCCTCACCAAGGCTATCGGCTCTCTGACCAGTTCCATGACATCCTCATCCGAAAGTTTGACCGACAAGGACGAGGGCAGATTGCATTTGATGACTTCATCCAGGGCTGCATCGTCTTACAGGTGACTGAGTGACTTTGTTTGGGTTTGTTGCAACCCATGGAGGCCAGTGTGGGGGCAGAAGGTATAGCCATCACACCAGGATGCTTGGTGTTTGAGTTTATGAGCCAAGCATGTATAGAATTAGTTTTTAAAACTTATAATGGTTAGTCTTATCTTTAGAGAAGTAACTAGTTCTGTTAATGGTAGTATTTTCTATCCTTGGACATTTCAGTACATGTCCTATAAGATTATAATGAGCTGGAAAATTGCTACCACCAAATGATGACATAGCTGTTATCATACCATAGTTGTCATGTTGTCATAGTCCAAGGCATTGCACTTTTACAGTGACACTGGTATAAACCTTTGCTGCCAGTCATATGAAAGTGTAGTACATACAATTACATACAGGATAATCTTTGATAATGACGATAACTATGTAGCCAGCTTATGTAATTGCCACACTATACTTTTTATCATTATAGCATACTTATTAAGAAAAGTTTTACTATAAACAGCACATGTGGTAGCAACCTTTACTGCACCTCTTGATTATATTAGAGGCCATGCTGAGTGATTAACCTGCGCCATCTAGCATAATAAGCACACTCTAGTGTGCTTAACTAGAACATTGTTCTAGTTAGAACAATGATGTATCTCTCAAGATAGGTCCCTGTTAGATGCACAGAGCAACTTCCTCACAGGGCATGCTGCTGCTTCTAGGTGGAGATCCAGGTTCCGTAAGGTTAAGTTTTGAAAGTGTGGTGTGTTGATTGATCCTTAGTTATCTTATGAAAAATTTCAAACAAGAGTAGTAGCAGTGGAGTGTAATGATTAGATTCAACAGCTGCTAGCTTGGGGTGGACTGTGCGTAACACCTCCTCACACCTGCATGCCCGCCAGTTGATCTGAAGCAGATTCAGTTCATGGAAAGCAAATGTCTTCTCCATAAATACCTTGGTAGAACCTGTCTGCTATCACTGAGTTCCTATGAGGAATACTTTCAGTATTCTCCAAACACTTAAAGAGGTGCACTGTAAAATCTCATTGTGGACTGTCTCTGAAATGTTGTAGAGTTAGAGCTTTCATTTGTCCCATAAGTATAAACTTCATCCTTATGTTTCCAACTAAGTTCAGGGCTTTCAGCAGCTGGTGTAGCACAGTTGAGTCCTTGATGAGCTCTCCAGCCCCCACAGGCCCATGCCCTGCAGCCTGGTCAGGGGGTCATTTTCTCCTGTGGAGTGAACCTGACAGCCAGTTGCAATCTACCTTCATCCTTGGAGAATGACCCTAAATGTTAGATGAAGAATCTAAAAGAGAAGAAAATGGTGCATGCCTGTAATCTCAGCTATTTGGAAGGCAAAGATAGGAGGATTGTGGTCAAGGTGAGCCCAGACAAAAGTCAGTAAGACCTTATCTTAAAAACAAGCCAGATATGGTGCTGCATGCCTGTGGTCCCAGCTACTATGGAGGCCAACTCAGGAGGTTGCATTTTGAGGCTAGCCCAAGCAAAGTGTCAGACCTTATCTGAAAAACAAACTAAAAAGCACAAAGACTTGAGTGCGTGGCTCAAATGGTAGGACGTGTATAGCAAGCTGGAAGCCCTGAGTTCAGTCCCCAGGACTGAAAAACAACAACAAAAAGAACCCAAATTCCACATGTAAAAGTATCCTCAAAATGTTTTCCTTCAGCTGGGCGTCAGTAGCTCACACCTGTGATCCTAGATACTCAAGAGGCAGAGATCAGGAGAATCACAGTTTGAAGCCAGCCCAGGCAAATAGTTCATGAGACACTATCTTGAAAAACCCATCACAAGAAAGTGCTGGCAGAGTGGCTCAAAGTGTAGGCCTTGAGTTCACATACCAGTCCCGTAAAAAAAAAAAATGGTTTCCTTCAGCTTTTTTCCAAAAAGAAAAAGGCTTTTTGATAATTATTTTTTACAAAATGACATGAATACTTGTAGAAATCTTAGAAAAATACAAATAAAATATAAAGAAAAATTACCCATTATTACTTTTTTATGTTTTGTTTTGTGGTAATTCAGAATTGAACCTAGGACCTTGCACATGTTAGGCACATCCTCTACCACTGAGCTACATCCCCAGCTCTACCCAGTATTCTTTAAGCCAGAGTTAATTACTGCAGATGTTTTTTTGTGCAGCCATGTGTCACTTAGCAGCAGGAACACGTTTTGAGGGACACATCATTAGGGAGATTTGTTACTATGCAAACATCATAGTGTATGCTTAGACCTGAATGGCAAAGCCTACTGCACACCTGGGCTGTGTGGCATAGCTACTGTCCGCTTTCTCTTACTGTAACAAATATCTGAGATAAATCAGCTTCATAAGAAGAAAGATTTATTTTGGCTCACAATTTTGAAGTCCATGGCTGGTTGGCCTGTTGCTGGCATGTGGCCAGGCAGAAGTACATCATGGCAGGAGTGCATGGCAGAGAAACCCTGTTCACCTCATGGTGGCTGGGAAGCAAAGAGAGACACAAGGAGCAAGGATCTCATTATCAACATCAAAGGCATGCCCCCAGTGACCTAACTTCCTTCCACTAGCCCCCACCTCCTAGAGGTTTCACCACCTCCCAAAAGTGCTACTGGGGATCACTGTATCAGTCACTGGTCATACAATCCACCACTGACCAAAACAAAATTTTGTGGTGCGAGACTATAGTTTTTGTGCTGGCATTTTTCATACAGAAATACCTGTGGCTGACATTGGAGGTGGGGGTCACCTGTACTTTACTGGGTCTTAATGTACTGGGGCTGTTTTCTCCTGTTGCCACGTGGAATTGCCTCATACCTGTGTTTTCTTGTCATTATAATTTTTCAGAGCATGTCATGTTTGCCCCAGGTCCATCCACAAGTGGCACATACCTGTGTATATTACAGAGTGTGGATGGTCTCCTCTCTCTACTTCGAACCTGGCCTGGATCTTCAAGCTGTTAGAAGGGAGAGAGGCAGGCAAAGCAGGGGGTGGGGTGGGTCCTGCATATGCTTATACACCTTGTGCTGCTAGGCCCTCCCCTGCTGAGCATACCCAGGTAGAGTCTGGCATACCTCTTCTAAACTGCACCTGGCCCAGGTCCCCACCACAGCAGAGGCCAGCCATTTGGAGGAGCAGTTCACAGGGTGGTCATGGAGTGGGAGAAAGGACTCAGCTTGAGTCTAGTTGGGCCAGGCCTGCCCCACCCTCTGTCCCTTGTCCTTGTCCTTGTCCACAGGACTTTGCTGTCCTGGGGGTGGAGGCAGTGACCAGTATGCTCAGGGCTTGCGCCTCTCTGTATAGCATAGGTGTCCTTCTGGTGGATGAGGGAACACATGTGCTTCAGAAATTGGGTCTTTAGATTAATCTTTTAGCTAAGCACGCTTTCCTTATGTCCAACAAGCATCAGTCTGAATGCCTGTTCTTCTTCCAGAGATTGACAGACATATTCAGGCGCTACGACACAGATCAGGACGGCTGGATTCAGGTGTCTTATGAGCAGTATCTCTCCATGGTCTTCAGCATTGTATAACCAAGCCTTGCAAATATCAGCACAACACGTGAAGAAAAATCTGAAAATGCCAAATCCCTTACCTATGATAAAACGGGACAAAATAAAGTTAGATGCTGTTCCTCCTGTAGATTTTGTATAATTAATACTTGGGGACCTGGCTGTACATATGTGAATAAGCTGATTAGTGCTTTGCTGTAACAGTAGCTGCATTGTTATAATACAAACCTTCGGTTTGCTGACTGTGCCATGAGTGAAATGTAATAATGGTTCAGATATTCTATATGCAACAAGTGTATCGTGTCCTTTTCTATCTGCAATTCTGTAATTGAAATGCTTTTATTAGCCAGTAGGATTTTAAAATAATGTGGAACTTGCACAGACTTTTCATGTGCCTTACTTTTTTAAGAAGGTTCACTGGAGTATGCAACATAAGCAATAAAGTAATGATACAGACCAATGGCCTACTTTTGGTTTCTCACATAAAACAGGTGGAAGAAATGTGCCCATGTCTCCAGCTTAGATGCACTTGGGTGTCCAGTAGACCATTTGAACATGCGGGACAGGACGATAAGCTGTAACCAGAACTGTGAACATCATAGGAATGAGGGCTATGCACAGGAGCCCCATGCCAACAGGGACAGCATAGAGGAGTCCTTCCATGTCCCCACATGAAGGAGGTGGATGATATATTCAACTTTTGGGGGAGCAAGGGCTTGACATTTGGGGTGTCCAGTGGTCTTTTGGAGCCTGTGTTGTCACAGATGAGGATTTCTTGCCTGTGATGTCCAGTCAGTGGTGGTCATGTGGCAGAGGAGTTGTGTTCTCTCTGAGGCTTTGACCTTATGGCCTCATTGTGGGAGTCCCTGTGGGCCCTGAGGATTTCTCTCATGAGCTTTCTCATGAGCTCTTGTTCTACTGACCTAACTGGGGGCAACTGGAGATGCAGAAAGGACAAATGATAGAAGACAGACATGCAGAAAGTTGGGGTCAGGTGTGTTGGGCACTCAGATGGAGATGCACAACAGCCTTGTTACTTCTTTTCTCCTATTAACTATTCTTTTACTTTGTTTCTTTTCTCTTATTCTTTAAAACCTTACTTCTAAAGTCTTCTTTTCTGTTCTTTAAAGTCTCTTGCCTTAGACTCACATTGTCCCATGTTTTCTTTCATCTCTCTTAAAGTCTTGGTCCTTAGACTCACAGACACTCAGCCAGCAATCATCAGCAGCAGCAGCCTCACAAGCAGCCTGCAGGCAGCCAATCAAATTCCCCATCAATCAAAAACCTCATGTCCTCCTTCAGTGAGTCTTTTATATTCAGTGGTAAACAAGGAGGTGGGGCAGCAGTACTCAGGGAGGTGTGTGACATTGTAACAAGAGAAACCTGCATTCCTACTTCTCTGAATGTAAACAACTTAGGAAAAGTAGCTGTGCTGCATTTTGCCTCTGGCTGTCTTCTGTGGCAGGGGCCATGCCAAACTCAGCCTGTAGATCATTAAGCACAACTGTGCTTACGGTCAAGTTCTCATAAGCTTCTCATAATCCACTCCCCACAGATTTCCACTCCAGGCTGGTTGTGCCCCAAACATCTACCCATGACCCAGACCAGCAGATGACCACAACCTGCTCAGTGAATTCACCTACACCCCATAGCAATGAATCCTGCACTCAATGACACCTCTGACAGTCTTCTTGGGTACCTTAACTCATCTTCTGGCTAGAGTCCCCACCCACCTCAACTCTTTGCAGTGAGTGGAGAGCCAGGATAGCATGACTGGAGAACTGGTTATGATGGGTGAGTGGACAGCTGGTGAGAATGGATTGAGTGTAGAGATGGTGAGGATTTATGGACCAAGTGCACCATAAGGACTTGGGGTGGTGCCATAATGTCTCCAAGAGCAAATTGTGGCCACTGACTTGCTTACATTGGGAAGAAATTTGTTTAGAAATGACAGCTATGGAAGATGGCGACTAGGGTACAGCAGCAGAAAGCCTAAGCTCTGTGACTCCAAAAACCTCCCTGAGACATTGGAGCCACACTTGGGTAATTCTGACTGCTTCTAACCAAAATAATAAATGCCATCACATCAGGTGCTGGAAAAAATTCAAAGATTGATCCTCAAATCAGCCTTTAATTGCACCTAATGGCTGTGACCCACAACACAGCCAGCAAGGTGGGTCCAGCCCCAGGGAAACCTTCCTCCCCCATGGTGATTTTACTTTTTTTCTTTCTTTCATTGTCCTCTCCTCCCTCCATCAAGTGGAAATAAAGCATCAACCAGAATCTTTTGACATCCTGAACTCCAAGCTGGTGGAAATCCCCCCCATGCCATGCTACACTGAGAAAATTTGGCGCCATTTCTTGCCACCACCACCAGCGCCACCACCGCCAGTGCCACCACCACTGGTTCCAAACCTGCCTGCACGTCAATTGACAGAACAAACAGGTGAGCACCACGTGTCATGCGGGAATCCCCTAACCACCCATGGGAACATAAACCAGTGCAGCCCCTGGGCAGACTGATCCCTCCACCCCCCCAACAAAACTGGAAAACAGCAAACTGTAATCAAACATGGACAGTGGAAGTGGCAGGTAGAACACTGAACCTGCACTGGAGAAGGGGTGGGGTAAGGAGCTAAACCCAGAGCTGAATACTCAGTAAAAAAACACAGGAAAGGTAGTGAAGGCTGAGAGTGGGTGGACAATAAGTCATTCCACAAATAAGGACAGGAAGTGCATCACAGAGCTGCTCTCCTGAGCCAGAGAGCAGCATCCAAAACCAAACTGCCCACAAAACTGAAAAACAAACTGAATTGTAATCTAGAACGGACAGCAGAGGGGGCAGGTGGCACGCTGAATCTGCCCCAGAGAAGGGGTGGGACACAGAACTACACTCCCATCACTGAACTCTCAGTAAACAAACAGCAATAAGTAACTGAACTCTCAGTAAACAAACAGCAATAAGTGACCTCCAAAGCAAGGCAGGTAGTGGATCTCAGAGCTGATCTCCTGAGCTAGAAGGCAGCATTTAAAACAACTTCCCCACCTCGCTGGGGGAGGAGCTGACCAAACAGCTGCAGCTGAAGGATAACACAGCTATCAGGTGGGGGAAACAATAGCTCTGACCACTCTGCATGAGCTGACAAACCAACTGCACTTCACAATTTCCATTAAACTTGGTAGACAGAGGAACAAAACACTACTCACAAGCCAGTCACCTGGTGAAACCATGTCAGACCTTCTGCTTATATGCCAATATCAGGACTGGATGCCGGAGGAGTAACTCCAGAACTTAAACTAAGACTGAAATTCTATTGTTCCTGAGCCTGGTGGATTTGTTTTTGTTTTTGTTTTTTTTATTTTTTATTTGTTATTGTGGGTTTTTTTTTTTTTTTGTAGCCCAGTCTGGCCTTGAACTCATAGTCCTCCTGCTTTTTCCTCTTCACCTTGTTGATTACCAGCATGCACCACCATGACCGGCAGGTTTTTATTTTTATTCCTATTTTCTTTTTTTCTTTCTGTACTATCAAGTTTATCATCACTATCTCCTCATCCCTACTCTCACCCCCTTCACTTTCCCTCATTCTCCTGTGCTAAAATCCATTGCTCTCCTTCCCAACTACTCTTTCTGCCCCTTCTCCTCCACTCTCTCTCCCTGCCCTCACCTTCCCCTCCTATTCTCCCCCAATCTGTCACCAGACTACCCCTTCCTCCTACACACTCACCACCTGCTGACCAGCCTACTATACCAACTTTACACAACCCCAACCCCCTACAGTCCCTGACACAGGCACCCTACACAACAGAAATACACCTAAACACCCACAAGGGCCACAAAACCCAGTAGCCCCCACACCACTTCTCCCACTTAACCACCTCACTTACCTCCTCCCCTTTTAGTGCCACCCTTGCCAATCCCCAAATTTCTATAGCCTAACAAACGTTAACCCCCGCCCTCCCATCTCCTACTGTTTATAGATTTTACCACCAAGGGGTCTTCTATGTAATATATAAACAACTGGTCGGGTATTGAACCTGTGAATTAGTTATTGCTAAATTACACCTCCAGACCAGGGACAGAAATAGCACACCAACCTAGCTAACAACCAAGTGAGCCACAACACAAAAATTAAATCAAGGGAAAGAAAACAGGTGACTAAAACCACCAACTAGCCTATCAAGAACATAGTTGCACAGTACCAAGTGGAGTGATGGGAAGAATAAGAAGGGGTGGAAACCACTATCCTCAAAAAAATTTTTTAATATAGGATTCAGAGAGAAATGAAGAAAACGGATACCCAGTTCCTGACCCCCCGCAAGAAAACAATGAAAACAACACTAAGGAACACAGTGATGCCCACAAAAAAAACCCTCAAAGAAAAAATCACTGAGAATTTCGTAGAGAAGATAGTAGACATGGTTAACCAAAATGTACAAGATGCACTCAAGAAATTTCAAGACACCAAAAGTAAAGAACATGACAAGACAGAGAAATGAACTTAGAGATGCCCCAAATAAACACCAAAGTGAAACAGAGAACACTATAAATAGAGAGAGAAAGATGAAAGTAAAACATATTAAAGAGGAAATGACTCAAGATATGGAAAACCTCAGAAACACAAAACACAGTGGACTGTGTTTTGTTTGTTCCAGCAGACTAGAAAAAATGGAAGATAGACTCTCAGAAATTAAAGAAAAACTGAAGAAATGTTATTCAAACACTCAAGAGCTGTGAAAGGAATATGCAAGAACTCACTGACTCCATCAAAAGACCAAACCTGAGAATCATGGGTATTGAAGAAGGAGAAGAGGTCCAAGCAAAAGGGATTTGTAATATATTCAATAAAATAATAACAGAATATTTCCCAAATCTTGAGAAAGTTTTGCCCATTCAGGTACAGGAAGCCTCCAGGACACCAAACAGACTTGACCAAAATAGAACCTGCCCACAGCACCTTCTCATTAAAACAACAAGTACAGAGAATAGAGAAAGAATACTGGAGGCTGTAAGAGAGAAAAAAAAATAACATATAAAGGTAAATCCATCAAAATCACAGGAGATTTCTCAATGGAAATTTTAAGAGCAAGAAGCAGATGGAGTGAGGTATTTTGAGCACTGAATGAAAATAACTTCAACCCTAAGATACTCTACCCGCAAAACTATCATTCTAAATAGATGGAGCAATAAAATTCTTCCATGATAAGCAGAAACTAAAACAATATATGACCACCAAACCACCACTACAAAAGATTCTCCAAGGAATTCTGCACACAGAAGATGAAAGCAAACAAAACCATGACAGGACAGGTAGTAGCAAACTACAGGAGAAGAAAAGACAAGGAATCAGAGAGTAGCATTGATTCTGCTACACACAAACAAGCCCTAAACAACAAAAACAACTAAATGGCAGGAATCATCACATACCTATCAATAGACTCAACTTCCCCATCA